TATACACACACGAACGGTTGAGATATCTGTTGTAAGTGTTGTAACATGGAAAACACACGTACATCCTATTTTCCTCGCTGTTAGTAACCACCAGAGTGTTCACTTTCACGAGAACTTATTCGCACTTTAAGAAATGAGAAGCTTACGGGAAAAGCTGGCACAGTCACAAATTGGGATCCAATGGTGATATAATATCAATTCCAAAAGTTGGTACATTTGAAACTTCACTTCCATTCGTGTATTGATTGATACTCTTTTTTTTTTTTTTTTTTGTAAAGTGTTTTACGGCGCTCGCTACTGCATAAGGTCATATGAGCACGCGGGACACACCTTATATTTTCAGTTGGTAGGAAATTTTGAATTTTGCCCGGGGGGCGGCCGAAGCCTACTCTTATCGATTTTAGACCACCAAGGGATCTTAACGTGCGCAACTTGCACACGGGCCATCTTAGATTTTTCGCCTTTGTCCGAGAAGGCTAGGTGTAGATCTTTCCTACCAGAAGATCAGGGGTGTGGCAGAAAGACAACAGTAAGGAGGAGCCAAGGAGTAGCAATAGAAGATTGATACTCATTTTTGTTTGATTCAACTAACAATAAGATAAACCGACACTCAAATGAAATGAAGTTTTTATTTTACAAACTTTTAAAATTGATATACCCACGATTTCCAGTTTGAGATTATGCCCATTCCTCACACGGACTTCTAAAAAAGTGCCAAACACCATGTTTTGATTATTTTTGTAAGAGTTTCACGGCACTTCCAACACAATTAGGTAACATAAGTACCACAGATTAGATGTGTTACAAGAGAGTAACAAACACATACAAATAAGGAGAAAGAATAACGACTATAAATGTTTGACAGGAAAGAAGTAGCACACCACATCACAGCACCCACCAAGCACCCACTACAAGCTTTTAAAATTTAATTGATATTGATTATCCTCATGATTTCCATTCTGTGACAGTGCCCGTTTCGCCCGTAGATTTAAAAAAAGACACAAAAGGAAACGAAACACCAGCTCACCCGGATCCAGAGATATCCGTAGAGCACAGAAAGCAAAAAATAAAACAGGAGCTGTCAACACGAAGTATCCTGCCAGACCGAAGCAGCAATATCTCTGAACGTTTAATGCCAGCGATCGCAGAGCGCTGATCCCACCAGTACAGAGACGCAGCATGAAATCTCAATCAGGCGCTCGGCGAGCCAGACCGGGGTCTCGTCAGAACCGGGTAGACCCTTGGCACAGGCCCTCTGATGTGTGACACGCAGGTCCACCCTGTTGCCTCTCTCGTGGAGCGCTCTGCTACCTATACTTAGATAACCCCTCCACCCTCCACCTCCTCCCCCCCACCCCACCCCATCACCTTGGATTCTCTCTTTCACCCTTCCCCCTCTCTCCCTTTCTTGACCACCTCTCCTTCTCT